TTTCCTGGTTGCCGAGTTGAAAGTGGGTGACAAAATGCACTCGCTTTCCGAACATACACACACACACACACAGACAGCCTTTCGACAATATGCGTTTTTGCTGGCTCTAGTAGTGTTATAGCGCTGCTATAGCGCTGCACAGCAAAAAGGCATAAAAATTTGTAGAGATATTCCCTGTGCATGTATGAGCTAAAAATTTCAAATTCAGCCTCCAGGTATGCGCGGTACTCACCTAAGGGCTTATGAAAGTTTTGGCGGGAAAATTTCTAACCCGGAAACCAGGAAAGCTGGAAGGCTGAAATTTTGGAGGAATGTTCCTTGTCCAAGTACAACTTAAATATTTCAAGTTAGGCTTCAGGTATACGTAGCTCTCAAGTACAAGCACGTGAAAGATTCGGTAACCAGAAAAGCTGGAAGGCTGAAATTTTAGGGGGATGTTCCCTGTCCAAGTACAACTCAAATATTTCAAATTCAGCCTTCAGGTATGAGTGGTTCTCAAGTACGGACACCTAAAAGTTTTGGCGGGAAAATTGCTCACTGAACGGCCAGGTTACTTTCAAAGAACGACCGTTAAATGGAAATTGTACATTTACTTTATGCAAAATTTGTGGTGATTTACGCCAGTGAGCGCAAGAGGTAAATGTAAAGCACCAACCATTCATACACTTAATAACCTGAGTACTTTAAATTCGGTGCAAAAACGCATGATAGCACTGGCAAGCCTGATGCGTTCCAGCCATATGCAAATGCGAAAACGCATATTGTGACGACCCCCGTGTTTGTGCATGTGTGTATGTATGTGTGTGTGCGTCTGTTCGGGTATTTCAACTCGGCGCCCAAGCAAGCTTCTGCGCCGAAATTTTGCTATTGAGTTTCCTGACTAAGTGCTACCCCTGGACCGCGACACCAACCTTCGCCCAAGTCTGGGTCCCGCGTACAAGAGGTGAAATTTTTGGCGGGAAAATCGCTAACTCGGAATCTGGAAAGCCAGGAGGCTGAAATTTCGAGGTTATGTTCCTCGTCCACAAAGAACTTAAAGATTTCAAATTCAGCCTCCAGGTGTGCGTGGTACCCGCGTATGGCCTCCTGAGGTTTCCTGGTGCGAAAATCGCTAACTTGGGGACCAGGGAAGCTGGGAAACTGAAATTTTCAGGGAATGTTCCAGGCAG